AATTGAATCATGTGATTCAGAGGCATTTCTATCAATGTTTATGCTGATGATACACTGCTGTATGTCACAGTAAAGACTCAACAAATCCAACAGCAGACTGTCTGAGATATTATCCAGATACTAAAACTAGATGTGCGCTAGCTTCATCCAGTCCCTGTTATCTGCATACAAATCTAAAATACTCATTTGGTCCCGTCAAATAACCTGTCAAACAATGTGAGCCAAAAACCTTATCACTCGTTGATTTCTGGGATCACGATGAATCCATTACAGGTTTCCTCACGTTTAGAATGTTTTATTTGCAGTAAGGTAAAATTAAGATGGAGGACACCAAGTGATAGCAGAATGATGAGACAGAGGAAAGTCAGTGCTATGCTACTTTAAACCATATTAGTGAGAAAATCACAACAAATGTTGATTCTGATGTTATGAAAAGGAAACATTTTGAACTGAAAAGACTTAAAGACTTTTTGACGGGAACTAAAGTCATAAATGTCCCTCTTCAAAGCCACCAACCACTCTTAAAAACAGTAGTTTATCGGTTTCTGGTGTACTGCTGCCTCCATCACTTAGTTTGTGTTATTGTGTGACTTTGGTGATCCAAACTACACTCTCCGGTTTCAAGAAGTATAGAACAAATAGCTTATTGGTTGGTTTGTTGGTCATCTGACAGGTAACAAACAGACGTACTTCTGTCCGGAGCTCCTTTTGGAGGGATGATGGGCAGCTGGCGACCTCTGCGACTGCAGACCGGCGTTCCTGATGGACTCGTCTGAGCTGATCGCGGGTTGACCCTGTTGGAAAAAAACAAAAGGAACAAACTTCAAACCTGCACAGAGGAAAGCAAGGCAGCGACTGCAAGGTCAAAGGTCGGGGTCAAAGTGGTCGCAGTCATTTATAATGGAAGATTATGTCGTTTTGTGCTTTAGCTCAGCTACGCTACGTTAGCTAACAAAAGGCTAGTGGCTAATGACTCAAGACACTGAATACAATCAATCTATCAATGCATTGATCAAAGGTCTCTGTGGTTACAGGAATTGATTGGATTGTCTCAGGATTGAAAAGGTTTGATCTGCACAACAACAACTCGATGCCGTGTGATGTCACTGATTTCAACCAATCAGAAGCCATCTTTACTTCCTGTCCTCCGGCTGTGGTTCCCAATAAACCACAATCAGGCTGAATCCATTTCTTTGCTGTTACTTTAAATTAACTGCAGTACACTATCAGTCTACTGCAGTATTATCAGTGCACTGCAGTAGTATCAGTGTACCGTAGTACTATCAGTGTACTGCAGTAGTATCAGTGAACCCCAGTACTATCAGTGTAGCACCAAAAATCGGTTGGACGAAACTAAAAAAATCTGTTTCAGAAAAAAACAAAAACTCTTCAGGAGCTCATGCAACAGCTAACAAATAAACCGCAAACAAATCAACATGGAAATAAACAACCATCAAACAACAAACAAATCAAGTTGTGCCTGTTGTGAGATAAATTGAGTCAGAACAGGAAACAAAACGACGGTCAGAACTGAAACAACTGCACGAAAAAACAACAGGAAATAGTGTGATAGTGTCACAGTGAGCCAAGCAGGAAGCAGGAAAGAAAAGGGGTGTGGTCAATGTTGAGAAAGACGTCATGCTTCGGAGACAGAAGTGCTCTCTGATTGGTTGGCTGCGGGTCACCTGGTTGGGGCAGGGGAGGGGGGGGCAGAATGTCCGGACCTCAGGTGGGCAGAGACAGCTCGGTCGGAGGAGTGGGAGCGCGTACAGACGGGTCGGTCCGCCATCGCTCGCTGGTCAGCTGACCGAGAGCGACTGTAGTAATCCCGCCGGTCCATTCCCCGACTGTACCTGTACATCACCATGAGAACCGTCAACAGCTGCACCTGCGGGAAGGGTTAGTTAGCCGTGACGATTGTCAGCTGGCCGTACCTGTGGAGGGCTTTGAGGAAATGAAACAGGAAGTGTAAGGCATTGAAGATTGAAAAACCTGGTATCTGGCACTACATTTCCCATCAGGCCTCAGTGGGAGGACAAACATAGCAAAGGACGATGGGAGGGAGATGAGGGGAAGTCTAAAGCCTGTCTCAACACAGAGTTTGAACCTCAGCAGGTTTTTTGGTGATGTCATATACAAATTTAACTGCTGAGAAAGGTCTCTGGTTAGGACAGACTGAAAAACTACTAATGTCCTCTAAATCTACACCTGTCTGTCTGTCTGTCTGTCTGTGTCTGTCTGTTTACCTCAGCAGTTCCTCGTCGTAGGCGTCGGGTTCGTAGGGGAAATCAGGAATGAAATCCTGACTGAAGAACAGAAACACAATGAATGAGAAGTCCTTGACCCCAGAACATACCTGTACATGTGTCCTTCAGAGGACAGTCCTTTGAAGGACACCTATACAGGCCATGCCCCTTTGAACTCTGACTGGCAGAATGTCCTCCTCTAACACTACATTACCCGTAAGCGCTGGGGCTTACCTGTAGTCTTCACAGCTCCCATTCATCATGTGGTTTGTCCAGAGCATTTGGTTTGGACCATTAAAGTATCTTTCACACAGAAAAACACACAGGTGAGTACCTATACTCCGAGTACTTGCACTACTGCTACTGTGTATTCCTACTACAGTTAAAGTACCTGTCGTGGGAATCAAGAGAGTTGGCAACAGACATTCTCCTCAGTGACCTCCTGAATACACAGAAAACACAGTCAGTACTACAATCTCTACTAAAACCAGTTCTGCAATCTCAACTACAACCAGTACTACAATCTCTACTACAACCAGTACTACAATCTCTACAACAACCAGTACTACAATCTCTACTACAACCAGTACTACAATCTCTACTACAACCAGTACTACAATCTCTACTACAACCAGTACTACACTCTCTATT